AGACTGACTTCCTCCATTTTAAACGGGGCCAGCCTGAGGAAAGGTGTAGTCGTCGTATTGTAGCGACAATGGAGATTCGTGCGCTTGGGATAGCCTCCGCGACAACCCAAATAGTACGGCTCTTGCAGTTGCTTATTATGCGATACTATTTCATCATCCCGTTCCAGCAAATCGTTCACAAAGTGCTCCACTAAAGCCGATCTGTTGAGAATCTTGTCGACCTCGGCCCGCAGTTGTGTGTCACTCAGCAAGGGCTCCTCCTTGGTCATGACTGAGTGATAGGTTTGTGTTTATGAGCTATACGCGAGTCTGGATCTAATATCTATTGCGCCTACCTTTGAGCAGACGCGTCCTGGCAAATTGTTCACGCACGCCATCTAGTGCACGGCCCAGCAGTTTGTCATAGGTAAAGGACTTTGGCTCCCTCTCCCGCTTCAGTGCGATGCTGTACCAGGCGAACGCTCCTCCGTAATCCTTCTTCTCATATTTGAATTGGGCCAGAGCCAGACAGTCGCGAATGGAAAGCGTTTGACTGCGGCACATTTGAGTTTGTAGAGTAAGCTTGGCCTGCAGCTGGCGAACAACTTACCCGAATTCCCTGTCTTGCAGTCGACCTAGTGACATGTCAATCGGATTGAGGTCATAGAAGTACTCGATGCGATCAATTCCCTTCAGCATTTCTTGCAAGTCGTCCTCGTCGGGCGCCTTGGCCAAGAGCTCTGTCATGGCTTGCAGTTGCTCTGCATAGGCATTGAAATGAAAGCTCATATGACTCGACTCATATCGGATTACGATTTTGGTTTACCTGCGCCCACTTCCTGCTTTGTGTAATTCTGCAGTGTGGGCCAATCCTGGCGCAACCGTCGAATGAGTGAAAACTTATGCAGAGGACTGGAGAGGTACTGTTTTTGTTCTTTTGTGCTTTGAAGTCGCTCGCGTTCCAGGATCTTCAGGTAACTGGCAAATTATTACGAAATTAATTTAATAATATAATAAATTTAATAATATTTTAATTTCAATTATTAGGTTAGTATTCACGCACGTCTTCAGCGTTGCCAGCTTTTGTTCCTGCGCCTCGGCATATTCTTTCATTCGAAGCACGAACTGGTTCTCAATATCTAGCAGCTTCACTAGACCTACAATTGAGCTGCTGTAGTACTCTGCAAAATAATTTATCTTACAGTTGACACAAGGGCCAAACAGAAAGATGAGGAGACCCAAAAATGATACGTGTAACTTCATTGTCGATCGTTTGTAAACTGAGAAAATCAAGTTAAGCTAAGTATTGGCTTAAACTAAATTAATCACGGTACACTAATTACACCTCAAGTGA